AGGATTTCCCTTCACCACTGTCCTTTAAGGAAGTCCCAGAAAGGGGCTGCAGTGCCACTGCTGTCCACTTTCGAGTGGTGCCTGCATATCGCATAGAACCATCTGTAAACCAGGCATGAGTTTTCTCTTCCTCAGTCAACCGATCATAAGGAATTCCTATAAAGCCACAGGTGCAGAGTGGGACAGGAAAGGTAATGTGACTTGAGTGGAGAACACAGGCATTTGAGGAACTTCCTCATGCAACTTACTTGTGCCTTCAGGTCCTGCTTGAGCCTGATCTCTGATATACCACTTCCATTAAATGATGGAATGCTGCTGTGCACGTCCAAGTTTAAGACTCTGTGGGTCAGACAACACCCAGTTCAAGATGGGCAGCTCAGGCCTCATGGTGACTTGGTGGCCCATGGTTAGGCATTCAGTCTCTACTAAAGCCCAGTAACAAGCCAAAAGCTGTTTCTTAAAAGGAGAGTAGTTATCTGCAGAGGAGGGCAGGGCTTTGCTCCAAAACCCCAAGGGTCTGAATTGCAATTCACCAACAGGGACCTGCCAAAGATTCCAAAAAGCATCTCTATCTACTACAGACACTTCACACACCATTAGATCAGCTGGATCATACGGCCCAAGTGTCAGAGCAGGCTGCACGGCAGCCTGAACCTGTTGCAGAGCCTTCTGTTGTTCTGGCCCCCACTCAAAACTAGCAGCTTTCCGAGTCACTTGATAAAAAGCCTGCAGCAACACACCCAAATGAGGGATATGTTGCCTCCAAAATCCAAAGACGCTCACCAGACGTTGTGCCTCCTTTTTAGTTGTGGAGGAAGCCAGATACAATAACTTATCCTTCACTTTAGTAGAAGTATCTTGACATGACCTATACCATTGGACCCCTTGAAATTTCACTGAGGTGGAAAGGTGCCTGAATTTTTGTTGGGTTAATTTCCCAACCTCTAGCATGCATATATCTCACCAATAATACTAGAGTCATGGATACTTCTTCTTTACTAGGTCCGATCAGCATAATGTCATCAATATAATGGACCAGTGTGATGTCTTGTGAAAGGGAAAGGTGATCAAGATCCCTATGGACTAAATTATGACATAGTGCCGGGGAGTTGATATACCCCTGAGGAAGGACTGTGGAAGTATAGTGTTGGCCTTGCCAGATGGAGGCAAACTGCTTCTGATGGTCCTTTGAAATTGGTATCAAGTAAAAGGCATTGGCCAGATCATTAGCTGCGTACCAAGTACCAGGAGATGTACTAATTTGCTCAAGCAATGAAACCACATCACAAACAGCAGCTGCAATTGTAGTCACCACCTGATTAAGTTTACGATAATCTACTGTCATTCTCCAAGATCCATCCGTTTTTTGCACAGGCCAAGTAGGTGAAATAAATGGGGATGTGGTGGGAATCAACACCCCTGTATCCTTCAAGTCCTTGATGGTGGCAGTAATCTCGGCAACCCCTCCAGGGATGCAGTACTGCTTTTGGTTTACTATTTTTGTAGGTAGAGGCAGTTCTAGGGCTTCCACTTGGCTTTTCCTACCAGAATAGCCCTTACACCACATGTCAGGGAGCCAATGTGGGAATTCTGCCAATTGCTGAGTATATCTATTCCAATTATGCATTCTGGCACTGGGGAAATCACTACAGGATGGGTTCAGGAACACACTGGACCCACTGTGAGATGCACCTTAGCTAAGACTCCATCAATAACTTGACCTCCATATGCCCCCACTCTGACTGGTGGGCCACAATGACGCTTTAGGTCTCCTGGAATTATTATCAATTCAGAGCCAGTGTCCAGTAATCCCCAAAAAGTCTGATTATTTCCTTTTCCCCAATGAACAGTCACTCTCATAAAGGCCTCAGATCCCTTTGGGGAAGGCTAGGAGAAAGACTGACACTATAGATTTTGGGCAATGTAGTAGGGTCCTTCCTCAAAGGGACCTGGACCTGGCCTCCCCTTCATTCAAGGGGTTGTGGGTCTGTAAACTGACTCAAGTCTGGGAACTGACTGAGAGGTTGTGACTCTGTATTCTGGCGATTCAATCTAGGTTGCTGTTCACGTGACCTAGAATTCTTCTGTCTATACAGATCAAGTAAATATTTAGTACGCTTGCCATGTATTTCACTACTAGGAACACCATGAGCAAGTAGCTAATGCCGTAATTCCACATGAGTCAGACTGTTCTGATTAGTGTTCTGACTCTGCTGTCCATTATGGTAACCATGCCCACCTTGCCTTTGTCGATTAACTACTGCCACTTGGACCCTACTACCACGGGGTCCAATCAGCCCCACCATAGTTAAATGTCTTAGTTCAATTAGGGCAGTTCCCACTGTCAAATCAAGTTTACATAAAATAGCAATCACAGCAGTCTTCAAGGATGCTGGAGCTCCCTTCACAAATTTATTCCTCACGGTACTGGTGAAAGGCGTGTCTTCTGGACTCTCCATTTCTGGCTCTAGGGGTCTAATCTGATAAATCCATTCTAACAGGCCAATTTCCCTAAGCCTCTGGATACCTTCTTCTACATTATACCAAGGCAGGTCTGGTACTTCAACTTGACTTAAGGTAGCCCACGGCATAATCCATGCCTCAGTAAGCCAACCAAATAAACTATTAGATCCTTTCCTAACCTCTCGAGCTGAGACACTGAATGAAGAATCCATACTTGGTGGGCCTAAATCAATAAACTCAGACTGATCCTATCTTACATTCCTTGCACCATTATCCCACACCCTCAGTAGACATTCCCACATATACTTTCCAGGTTTCTGTCTGTACATGTTAGCAAAATCAAGTAGGTCTTTTTGGGTATAGCGTACCACCTCCTCAGTCACACTTTCTATTTCACCTTTTGGGGCTCATTTGGACTTAACTTTAGTTATGGTTCTGGCAGCAACAATGGGTGGTTGAAACAGTTCCTGAGAGCATTCAGGAATGTCTTCCATGGCCTCTGCCTCAGGCAATCACCCAGCAGGACTGATTTGGCTAGTCCCATCAAACTGAGGGGGAGGAGATAATGGTTTTACAGTAAACCCTTCAGATGGGAGGGATTCAACAGAATTTACACACTCCATATCCTGATCTTCCTGATTATATGTCCATATGTCCCCACTCCAGGTTTCAGGATCCCGTTTTTTTCCAATCAATGCCCTCACTTTAACGTCAGACACCGTTTTGGATTGGCAATTTAATTGGCGTTGTAATTCAGCCACCCTTACAATAAGACTCTGGGTTTGGTTTTCACCAATATCAGCTCTGTTACTAGAAGATATAAGGCTTTCTTTCAGAGCACAACTGGAAGCACTGAGGTCTTTATGCGGCGCTGAAGCTGAGACTCAGCAGCTCTGAACTCATCTTGCTCTTTCACCACTTTGTCTAGTGTAAGTAGGACCAACCAACCAGCTTCCTTATACTCCTCATGCTGAAAAAATTGCAGAAAAGTATCAAATATCCAATCACCCAGAGCATCACTTCTCCCAAGTACTTGATCTATTGGTGGTGCTATTTCGCGTATTGGTTTTGCCACCTCATCCCACGGATTAGCAGGACCCTCTTTACTAACAGACACAGGGTCACTAATGTCTTTAAGATTAATCAAACTGGAGAACCAATTTAGGAAGTCCATCCTTACGATTTTGTCTCTCTAGAACCACTCTCAGTACCAAATGTGTTAGACTGGGTTCTCTAGAGAAAGAAAAACCAGTAAAGCTTATATATATGTATATATAGAGAGAAATTTATCTTAGGAAAATGGCTCACACACTTATAGAAGCTGACAAGTCCAAAGTTCCTGGATCAAATGTCAAGCTGGAGGCTTTTCCTGGCTCTTGCAACCACAGGGGCTGAGGAGCTCAAGGCTGGCAGGCAGTACACCAGCTGTTGACTCCAACGAATGACAAATCCAAGATCTCCAGGCTGAATGGTGGACTGTTCACTCATGGACAGTTGTAGGCAGCACAACAGAATCCCAGTCCACAGAAGAATGTCCCTCTTCCCAGATGTCCTTGCATATACTGGAAGTAGGCCACACCCCTAGGGAAACTCCCTTTCAACAGATTGGCCACTCAAAACATAGTCATCTGATCCCATCATGGGAGCAACCACACCACAACAGCTCAAACCACACAGAACTGTGGTCCAGCCAAGTTGACACACAGCTCCAACACTCACACATTCCATGACATGAACAAATTCCAAACTTTGTTTATCCATTTCATTGTTGATGGACATCAGGATTCCTTTCACATTTTTGCTATTATGGACAAAGCATACAAGTCTTTGTGTGGATGTTTTCATTTCTCTAGGAGTGAGACTGCATGGTGGTATGGAAATGTGATCTTTATACAAAAAATGTTACCCAATATAACTGTACCATTTACATTGTCATCAGCAATGTATGAAGTCCAATTGTTCCACATCCTTACCAACACCATTCCAGTGGATGTGTGGTGGTATCCAATTATACTTTTATTTCTATTTCCTCAAAGACTGATGCTGAGTATTTTCATGTGCATATACGCTCTTTTAGGAGCTCTGGTAGCATAGTGGTTAAGGCACTTGACTGCTAACCAGAAGGCTGGCGGTTCAAATCCACCAGCCACTCCTTGGAAGGAAGATGGGGCAATCTACTTCTGCAGTGATACTGCCTTGGAAACCCAAGGAGGGGTCGCTATGGGTCGGGTCCGACTCGACGGCACATAACAACAACAACATACACTCTTTTAGGAGCTCTGGCAGCATAGTGCCTACTTTCAGGTCCCTTTAAAGAGTAGTTTTCTTTCCAAATTTTGTAACTTTATCTGTGGTAGAGTTCACATGACCACTTCATTCCACTGCCATTACCAGAAATCTTTGCCAAACTCCTTTAAGTTTAAACATCTTACATATATATCTTTTGTAGGAATATAATTTTCTTCTCAAGTAATTGCAATGAAGTAATTGTTCACATACTCAGTTGGCTTTCTTATGTTTAACACACATTGCTTTACCTTCAAAAGTGGGTCTGCATGCTCCAGGTACCAGCCTGCAACTGCATGGCCTGCTTCATGGTATGCCACGGTCTTTTTCTCCTCAGGCTGCAGAATCTGGGTTTTTTTCTCTAAACCTAACAAAATAATAACAAAACACTGACACTGACATGAAAAGATAGTAATGTAATATAATACAATACAAATATAAAAATATATTTAGATATTCATGATAATTAAAAAATTGCCAAACAAGTTCAGAATAAAAGCAAAGGTCAACTTAGGTCAACTACAAAACACATCTAACTATAAGCGCAAACAAATTCACAAACCCTGTCCCCCAGCTCATTTCTCTCCTAACTCTCCCATTCTTTTGAATCATGTGTTGTTTTAGGAAATAAGTAGAAATGCAAAATAAAATCTAGCACTTAGCTCAATTTAAAAAACATAAAACTCATAGAAAACAACGAACTCTAAAAATGTTCTCACTGCTTAGTCTTTAAAGTATACAGAACTACCAAGTACTGGGCAAAAAAGATTCTTGCCACAGAAGACTGACATTTGTACATTCCTGGTGGAATGCAGGCAATAGAGAAAGCAGTGAGGTAGTTAAAGATTTGGAAATACCTAACAAGAGAAGCAGCTGGGCCAATGATGGAGCACTGAGCACTAACCAGAAGGTCCCAGGAGCTCAAAGAGCTGGCCAAGGAAGCAGCAGGGTGTACCTAAAAAGGCACACTTCTTAGAGATGCAGTGTCCAGAAGAACTCCTGTGGGAGACTACGTAATACCTATAGAACAGAAGGATCTCTAATCTAAGAGTCTTTTCCAGCCTTAACTCTGAACCTAGTGTTGTACTTATAAATGAGTTTTACAAAGTTTGTCCAAGTACAAATCATCATACTCATGACAAAAGTAGTTTTGGTTTGATTTACCTCAAGTAGACACACGCCCTGGAGAGAACAATCATGGGAGAAGGAAGGGCTGCTTATGCACAGGGAGATAGCTCAGGGTGCAGAAGAGTATGAAGGGATGGACACTGGGAGGAGGTAACTATGGGGAGGAAGTGGGAGGGGAGCTGCTGCATTGTAAATTTTGGTCAATGACATGAGACAAAGTATACGTGAACTGCTGTATGAAAAGTGAATTTACTCTGTAAATCTTCACCCAAATCCTAATTAAAAAAAAAAAAAAGTAGTTTTGTTTTGTTTTAGGTAACTCATCTGAGGGAATTTCACAACTCAAAAGATATTCAGGAGTCTGGAAGATTAAAAGAAAAAATGCCATGTTCCCAATGACACAAGTTAAGCATTTGCCACAGGCTACAAAGGTAGAAAGTTATAGGGAACAAGCTAAGAAGTCCTTTGTTTTCTACAGATAAGCTTTTCTTATGTAAAAAAACAAAGATTTTTTTCCCCTTATAATTTATCACAGGAATTTCTCATTTCTTCAGTATGCTATTTTATTAAAAAAACAATTGCTTTGGGCTTGCATTCTACAGTGCCTGAACAGTGAGGATAAGTAAAACTTCAATGTACCTTAGACCACAAGACTACTTACTTGCCATTCCCTGTTCTCTTTCATATTCTCATTTTTTGTACCAAGCACTGAGACATACCCTTGACATAAAAGGTAGAAATATATTATGTTCACCTATCTCTGAAGTGAATTATTTTAATTCCATCAACAAATCTATCATCTTAGACTTTTTTCAATCTAAAATATCTAGTATAAAATTATCCATTCATACATTCATTCAAAAATTATTTGCTTATTTAGCACCTAACCCATGCTAACCACCTTGGTATATTGGCCTTTTTCCTTACTGGTATCTCCATTACTCTGCTTTCATACTCTATCTACACTGAAATTGTTATCCAAGAGTAACCAGGAACAGTCTCACTGCCAAATCCAAAGGTCATTCTCCATAATGTCCCTGCATCACTTGACCTTGCTGACAACTCCTCCTTCATGAACTTGTCTTTACCTTTGTCTTCCAAATCCCCCAAGTTTCTTAGCACCCTCTTCCGTATTCACTGATGCATCTTCTATGTAGAACTGTATATGGCATATAGGAAGCCCTAGGACTCTGGTGACTCAGCTTTCCTTCCTTCTGCTACCAAATGTGAGCCTCTCTTCCCCTGACTGTGACAATGCTCCCTGAGTATTCACAACCACCATCAACTCTGACTGGCAGCCTCAAGGATCACACAGCCTGTACTGCATGGAGTGTATGGCAGCTCCAGTGGATGCTGCCCATCTCAAACTTACCTGCATTTTCTGCCAAACCAGTTACCTTCAGAGTACCCACTTTTCCTTCGGCCTTTACATCTGTCCCTCCTTGCCTGTTTTCACAGGTATTACCCATGCTAGACACTGTTATCTTATAATAAAGACTCCAAGGTTTCTGCCACCAAATGCTTCCCCCCCCCTTCTAATCCAGATTTTCTTCCCTTAGATGTCACTATTATCTTGCTCATTGGCTCAGGGAAAAAAAAAAAAAAAAAACTCGTTAGCTCAATACTGGCTACAAACAAAATTTATAGAGCCCTTTAGCTTAGCATTCAAGGCTTTCCAAAATTTAGACTTAAACAACTATTTCCACCTGTGCCTTATTTGCCCACAGGAGCCTGAGCCTGACAAGCTTATATTCCCTCTTCAAACACAGGTACTCAAGGCTACCTTCAGCCTCTTCTGCTCACACCACATCATGCCATATCCCATTTCCCTATTAATCCAGTTTAAATCCCACCTCTTCTATAAAGCTATGCCTGGCCACTGCAATTCACTTTCCTCTGCTCTGAATTCCCAAACATTTGAATTGTCATTCTCTTCTCCTAAGCATTACATTTTAAGCTCTTTAGAGAGCAAGGAAAGCATGTGGCACACATCCCCCACTGTGCTGGCAAAGAAGCTCCTCTTAGAGCTTTAATGTCCACTACCAATATCTACACAAAGTACATTTAAGTCATGTTATAAAGAATTTCAAAACAGGAAGACTGTGAGTTTTTCTTTTAAAACTGGTATAACCCAGGGGCAGACACCCTACCTGCAATACTGCCTGCGATAGCAAAGCTGAGTGTGAGCAACTCCCTCGAGCCTGTCAGAATTGTTCTGACATTATTTAGTCTCCACTCAACTCAGAGAGGCACTGGCTTACTCGAGGCCCTGGGCAAGCATGGTAAGCTCCATCATTGGCTAGAAATACTTCTCTTTGCTTCTACAACTTGCTAAAAAACAGAAATCCTCAGCCTCAAATTCATTTCATCAGCCTCAAATTAATTTCATCAGCCTTTTGACTCGCGTTACATTCAGTTGCCTTACCACCAATCACTCGTTCAATTGCTTGTTCAAAATGTTTCTGATTTATGGAGTCAGAAAGGTGCCTCGCAGCAATCAAAGCCGCTTCATTACACACATTAGCAACATCAGCTCCTATAAAAGGAACATGTGGAACAGCTTATAGATCAAAATGTACTAAAATCAATGACTTACACATTACTGATGACCAAACCAACAGTCACCTTCTCAACCAGTCATAGATTAGGTAAGAGTTTTATGTAAATATAATTCAGTTTGATTCATTATAACCTTAACTATTCAAGAAATTAAAACTATATGTCCACATAAAAACCTATATATGAATGTAAAGCACATGACTATTCATAATAATCAAAAAGTAGAAACAACCTAAATGTCCATCAACTGATAAATGGATAATAAACAAACTGTGGTATATTCAATGAAATATTATTTGGCAATAAAATGAAGTTCTGATATATGCTAAATGAGTAAGCCTTGAAGACATTATGCTGCATGAAATAAATCAGGCACAAAAGACCACATTTCATTTATATGAAGTGTCCAGAATCTACGGAAGTAGATTGCCCCGTCTTCCTTCCAAGGAGTGGCTGGTGGGTTTGAACCGCCAGCCTTCTGGTTAGCAGTCAAGTGCCTTAGGCACCACGCTACCAGAGCTCCCAGGCAATTCCATAGAGACAGAAAATAGATTAGTGGTTGCCAAGGGAATGTGGGAAGGAAGAACGCTAATGAGCACAGGGTTTCTTTTGGGGTGATAATAATGCTCAAAATCATATTATAGTGATAGTTGCACATCTCTATAAATACACTGGGAGCTCTAGTGGCGTAGTGCCCATGGCATTTGACTGCTAACCAGAAGACTGGTGGTTTAAACCCACCAGCCACTCCTCAGAAGGAGGACTGGGCAATCTACTTCCTTAGAGACACCACCTTGGAAACCCAAGGAGGGGTTGCTGGGAGTCAGATTCAATTTGATGGCATTAAAAACCACTGAATTGTACATTTTAATTCCTGAAATATTTATAGATAATGATACCCTGTTGAGAATTTGCTATAAAATAATCTAGAGGCAAAGGGAAGTGGGTGGAGAGTACAAATTAAATAAGAATTAATTATCATTCCTGAAGGTAGGTGATGGGTACAGAGAGGATCCTCAGGCCATTCTCTCAACGTTGTAGATGTTTGAAATTCCCCATAATAAAAAGTTGAAAATATATACTTAGGCCTCAGGGTGAGAAGTAATAAAGGGCACTGGTACTTCATAATGGATTTTAACATACTTTCAAGTAATTCTTTCCACTCACCTGAAAATCCTGGAGTTAAAAATGCAAGTTTTCTTGCTAGTTTCTCCTTTTCTAGGGAACCGTCCAATTTCAGTGGTCTGAGGTGAACTTTGAAAATAGAGGCTCTTCCTTTTATGTCTGGTGGTCCTTTAGTATGATTTTTAAGGGGGGAAAAAAATCACAGTTGTGGTAGTTAAAGTTATATGTCAACTTGGCTGGGCCTGGTTTTGAGTGTCTGGGCAGCTGGATGAAGTTATTCCCCATGATGAGATTGCTAATCAACTCCATGGCGGAATCTACTGAGTAGCTGAGTAGCTGCTTTAGGGATGTGGTCTTCTCCCCATATACATAAGAAACAACTTTGAGGAAAGTCTCCAGCTTATGGCACACTTGAACCCTGCATGTAGGTGAGTCATTGTCCAGCAGCCTACCACACTGCCTGGTTAATTTAGGGACTCTTTCTGGGCTTGACTCAATGGCTACCATGTGGTTTGGTAATATTGGGACTGTGCCATTTTGTCAACCTTGGGCTTGTCAGCCTTAGCAGCCAGCACCTGCCTGAGTGAAGAGAGGCCTGTAGCTTCAGTGGGCCAGGAGCAAGAGGCAGAGCTAAAGCCTAAGGTTAAGGGACTTTCACCTAGCCCTTAGAGCCCGGCACTTTGAACTTGGACTTTTACTCTCCAAAACTTTAAGGGAATAAACTCCTGTTCATTCAAGCCATCTACCTTGGGTATTTTCTATTAGAGCAGCATGAAGTAACCAAAACAACACTGAAACAGTTGCATCTATCCCCATAAGAACTGGACTGATTCCAATGAATATCATCTTACCAATAAATATTTGCCTGTCAAAGCGCCCTGGCCTCATTAGAGCTGGGTCCAGGATGTCTGGCCTATTGGTGCCAGCCAAAATGACTACATTTGTTGTTGTGTTAAATCCTAAAAAAAAAAAAAAAAGTAAAAAGATGCAACTATTAGTAAATGATATAAGGGAGAAAGCAATAGTCAATACTTTGTGAATAAGAGTCACTGTTTATGGGGCCAAGCTTCTGTGGAGGGTGAGAGAAAAATATGGAAACAGATAATGAAGATGGTTGTACAACATAATGAACATAACTGTCACTGCACTATACATGTACAAAATATTGAAACAGTAAATATACCCTAATTTTAAAAAAATTTATGAGCACTACAAACACATTAAAGAACCCTGGTTGGTACAATGTTAAGCACTCAGTTGCTAACTAAAAGGTTGGCAGTGGAAACCCTATCAGTAGCTCCATAGGAGAAAAGACCTGGCAATCTGCTCCCAGAAAGATTATAGCCTAGGAAACCCTATGGGGCACTTCTACTCTGTCCTATAGGGTCGCTATGAGTTAGAATCAACTCAATGGCACAAAAAGCAATAAATACATTACTACATTAAAAATATTTTCCAATTTATTATCCAGTGATTTTTAAGTCACAACTTGAATAAAACCTACTACTCCTCATTCATGGACTATCTTGTTATCTGACATTTTGCATTTACAACAAAAGTAAAAAACCTCCTATCTATTTTTCATATTAATGACATGTGTCTGGCAATAACTAATACCAAAGATTCTCAGTGGTTTGGCAGTTATGGAATGATGTAATCTAGCAGTTATGTAGTGATATAGTCATCCTCCATTGTCACATAATGAGCTGGTTTTTGGAACCTAACCATGTTGATAAGTGAGGAATGGGTGTATTTTTCTTACTATTCATCTTATCCTTATTGATATTAGTCATATATTAGATTTTAAACTCTTAAGAATCAATTTTCTAAAAACAAATAACCAAAGATTTTAATTTATTCAACTACAAACTCCAAAGACGTTCCTAATTTTAAATGCTATGTCTAAACAAAGTTTCTGGGCCACAGGATAACCTATTACATATTTGAAGACATGTACCAACCTCCACCTAAGTAATCTCTCTTCCAGAATATAAAGATACAGTTTTATTAGCCACTTTTCAAATGTCAACGTCACAGCTCCAGACCTCTCACTCTCATAATACCCTCCACTGGGACGGCTCATCTGCTGATTTCTTCAAATTCAGCGCTCCAATTGGAATATACCACCAGTAGTTCAATGCTTCTGCACACAGAGCCAAGCATTCACATGTATTATGACAGGGAGGATGTTGCTCAGCCTAAGACCTTTCTTTACTAAATAATAGGAAAAGATTAACTAAAATGGAAAGATGGCTAATTTATTTCTAAATATGCCAAATTCACACTCCATTACACATGGGTTTTCCTGATGCTTCAAAATCATAAATGATTTTGAGAATGAGATTAAAATTATTTGTGAATCATTTCACCAAATTTCCTCTTATTCAATACCAGATACAAATATCGTCTTAACACCAATATAATTAAATTATGGCAGGCTGCTAGGCAAGGACATTTTGCTATCATCTGTACTGGTATAACACAGCCTTGAAAAAGGGCTGTTTTATAGAATGGTTTTTCTTTTTTTATACTCAGCATAAAGATTGCCATTTTATAGACATATAGAACAATTAGAAAGGGTCATTTAAAATGTAAAAGACTTGAATATTCACCATCCATTTCCACAAGCAGTTGGTTAAGTGTATTTTCCTGTTCACTCTGCCCTCCAAAGTTGCCTCTTCCTCTCTTCCTTCCCACGGCGTCTATTTCATCGATGAAAAGAATACAGGGGGCATTCTTCCGAGCGAGGGCAAATAAATCTCGGACCTTAACAAACGTATAAACACTACAGTCACACTTGACTAGTGAGCATCAATCACCTCCTGGTAAGAAATAAGCTGTCCAGTTTTCTGTCCCAGATGAAGGAAATCTGTCCATGGTACACACTGACCAGTACAGACTTGAATAGAGCAAGAAAACAGTGCAATAACGAGTGCAAAGTAGCAATGAAGTAGCAAATGATTAGGAACTTGGTGGGTAATTAATTGAAGGTGAGCAAATGTTATTTCTATCATCCAATAATCTACTATATATGGAATAAACACTAATAATATCTGCTACTTTTATAACATAAAAAAATTATTACTAGATATCTCTGCCCTACAAAAAGACAGCATAAAGAGCTATAACCTTTATAATGAGTTCAAAAGTTCAAATTCCTCCAGGATTCATATTTTATGCCAATGCAGACTTACTAATAGATCTGTGTAATACTTACACATAAAGCCAACCCACTCAGCTGGTTACCCAAGGGCTCTTCACCCATACCAGAGAGGGCAAAAGTAACCCCTCCTCACACACTGCTGCAACCTGGAACAAGTGCTAATGCCTTTGCATCCACATACTGACCTGCTAAGCCTGTTCCTCTCAGGACTGACTCAGGTGGACTTAAGGATTATCCATTCCAACACCTCTTCATCAGCTAAGAGTTTAGGATCTCAATCTGTTTTTCTGTCTCCTAAGAGATTCAGAAGGCTTCACTTCCCTTTTCACCTTAGTCACCACAAGTCCAAGTCTGCTCCACTACTCCTATAGCCCAGATTTCGGGATTTTCATTCCTACACTGCTCTGAACACACCCCTAATATAAGTCACGCCCCTCTTTGCCTCTACCTTCGCACTCCAGGTCTCTGATCAACAGATTCCTTATATCCTCAATCTCTTCTCAGAATATTTCCTTTACCTTCTTGCTGTAAATGACACTTGGCTGTCACTGCAACCCTCTCAAGTATAAGGGGTTTTAATCTACCTCCTCAAGACCGGCTGGGGTTGAGATCTTCCTTATACAACATTACCATAGCTGCTAAATAATTAGGTTGAGAAATGACAGCCTTCTTCCAAGACCCACCTGCTGGCAGGTACTCTTTGCCTTCTCAGTGTAGGTATCTGCAGGCCTGGCTCCATGGTGCAGCCTATTCATAGAATGCTAGCTCTTCCTTTCCACCCCCAACTCCCTATTTTCTCAGTGATTTCCACATCCATGGGGTTCTTGAAATCTTAGTTCCTTGACCCACCTCTTCCACAATCTTTTCCTATACTGTGACACAGCCACCACTGCCAAGGTCCCCTCTAAACAACTAGCCTCAAGCAATCTCCTCTCTGACCATCATCTTACAGAGTCAAATATCTCACACTAACAGTTTTTTTTTTTTTAACCTATTTCTCGGCTCTTCATTCCATTAGTCCCACCACTCCCTCATCATCAGTAGCATTTTTCCTGTCTTCAGTTCCCTCTTTGCCCATATTAGATTCCATGGTCCATCATTATAAACACTCAACTCCCCCATGCTCCCCTTTTTTCTTAAGACTTATTTGCCTAGAAAAACCCATATGAATTCACTTACTATATTTCATCTAATCTAAACTGCTCAAGATCCATCATTTATTATACTTGTCAGAAAGAAAAAAATACTATTTATGACATAATGCCTTCTTATTAAGTTACATCCTGATGTTTAGAAAAGTAACTGACAGCATTTTGTATTTCAATGGCACTTTAATTAAAAAAAAAAAGCAACATTCTAGTTATGGATAAAGTTCATAAAACTAAAAACATAAACATTTATTTAAAAATTAATGCACACTCACACTTCCTGAATTCAAAATACACTACAAACCAACAGCAATCAAGACACTATGATACTGGCATAAGGACAGATATAGATCAATGGAAAAGAACTAAGAATCCAGAAACAAGGGTGTCAGGTCCATTCAAGGGGTAATAAAATAGTCTTTTCAAAAAATAGTGTTAGGACAACTGGACAACCACATGCTAAAGACTGAAGTTGTATGGTAAACAATTACTTTAAAAAGATGAGAATGTGAGGAGGGAGGGAAATTAGACTAATGGAAACAGAACCACCAGAACAGAAATAATGAAAATGTTCATGCATTATGAAGAATGTAACACATCACTGAACAATTTGCATAGAAATTGTTGAATGGGTGAATGTAAACTTTCACCAAAAGCACAATAAAATATTATTTTAAAAAAATGAAATGGTAACCTTATCTCACACCACATACAAAAATTAACCTACAACATGGGAAGTACTGACAACAAATATGAACCCTTTTGCATATACAGTACTGAGTTGTCAGTGAAGGCAAACATGGGTATATGGATGGATAGATAGGTGGACAGGCTAAACGATTAGGTATGTCTATGAAATAGGGAGTGTATCCAAGAACATATATAGGGTTGGCAGACAATGGTCCTATAAGTTTATGTGAATGATCAGAATCCCCAGGTGTATAATAGAGCTGACAAGGGGCAAGGTTGTGGTCACTGCTTGGTCACAGCCAGCTACCCAGAGGGACCGAGTAGTTGATCCTGTGGGCTTGGGACCATAGTCACAGGGGACATCAAGCTCAATTGGCATAACATAATATACAAAACATTGTTCCACCTCCTACTTTGGTGAGTAGCGACTGGGATCTTAAAAGCTAGCAAGCTGCAATCTAGATGCAACGATGGGTCTCTCCTCGTCAAGAGCAAAGAAGAAAGAAGAAAACCAAAATTCATGGAAACAATCAGTCCTCACGACTGGTACACTATCCAATCTGCAACCTATACAACTATGAGACCAGAAGAACTAGATGGTGCACGGCTACCACTGTCATCCATTTGGAAGGGATGTAGGAGATCCTGGATAGAGAGGGAGAACAATGTGGAACAAAACTCAAAATCATTTGGAGGGAAAAAAAAAAAGATGGTTGGGGCCAGGTTTGCTGGTCCAATAGAGCCTGGTGGAACCACTGAGACTATGGCCCCTAGCTGCCCTTCAGGTCTCGAATTGAACCCACACTTGTGGTTTCCAGCCAAACAAAGTACAGGCATGTGAGTTGAACATTTACCTCAAGTAGACATACGCCCTGGAGAGAACAATCATGGGAGAAGGAAGGGCTACTTATGCACAGGGAGACAGCTCAGGGGGCAGGAGAGTATGGAGGGATGGACACTGGGAAGTGGTAAATATGAGGAGGAAGTGGGAGGGGAGCTGTTGCATTGTGGTAAACTGTGGTCAATGACATGAGACAAAGTATATGTGAACTGCTGTATAGAAAGTGAATTTGTTCTGTAAATCTTCACCCAACTCATAATAAAAAAAATAATAATAATAATTAAAAAATTAACCTACAATGAATTCTAAACCAAAATAGAAGAGATAAAACACAGAAGAAAACATAGGGGTAAATTCTTCATGATACTGGATTTGGCAAGATAGTTAAGTATGATACCAAAAGCATAAGCAACAACCTAGTTACCCTCTGGGCCTGAACTGGACTCACTCCTGTGGCTTAACTCTCAGCAAAACAACAGATAAGCCCAGAATTACTATACCAGGAAGATACACTCCTTAGAGCAATCAACCATGCGAAATCAGAAGCATAGCATCTGCACAGGGAGAAAGCTAGGGAGGCAGGAATGTCTAAGCAAGGACACAGGGAAAGGGTAACCACAGGGAGGAAGTAGGAAGAGAGCTGTTACACTGTGGGGATTGTAATCAGTTGTCGCAAAATAAAAGGTGCATGAACTGTTGAGTGTAAAACGAATCTGTTCAATAAAATTTCACCCAAATCACAGTAAAAAGTTAAAAAAAAAAAAAAGCATCATAAGCAATAAAAGGAGAAATAAATAAATTAGACTTGATCAAAATTAAAAACTTTGTGCTTTACTATCAAGAAAGTTGGAGCTCTGATAGCATAGTACCTAAGGCACTTGACTGCTAACCAGAAGGCTGGTGGTTCAAACCCACCAGCCACTCCTTGGAAGGAAGGTTGGGCAATCTACTTCCGTAGTGAGACCGCCTCGGAAACCCAAGGAGGGGTCGCTATGAGTTGGGTCCAACTCAATGGCACATAACAACAACAACAATCAAGAAAGTGGGAGAAAGTATTTCCAAGTCATGTATCTGATAAGAGAGTTATATCCAGAACATATTGGAAAAAAATCTTACAATTCAACAAAAAAGACAACTCAATTTAAAAACAGAGAAAGGGCCTGAATAGACATTTATCCAAAGAAGGTATATGCACAGCCAATAAACACATGTTCAACATCATTATTCATCAAGAAAACACAAACCAAAACTACAATGAGATATCACTTTACACCCACTAGGATGGCTATATAATCAAAGACAAATAACAAGTGCTGGTGAGGATGTGAAGAAATTAGAACCCTCATACACTGCTGATGGGAATGTTAACATGCAGTTGCTGAGGGAAAGTTTCACGGGTCCTCAAAAAGGTAAACAAAGAACTACCATATGAACCAGCCATTACACATCTAGATATATATACCAGGAAAATGATAACATATGTCCACACAAACACTTGTACAAGAATACTCATAGAAGGAAGAAAAAGACATAGAGAGGTACATGGGAGGTACAGACAACAAAGATGAACCCTTTTGCACATAGAGTACTGCGTTGTCAGTGATGGCAAACACTAATCTACAGGTGGATAGATGGGTAGAAGACAGGCTGAACTATTAGGTATGTCTATGCAGGGGGGAGTGTGCCCAAGACCACGTATAGGGTTGGCAGACAATGTTTCTACGAGTGTATCTGTATGCTCTGTAAGAATTCCCAGGTATATAGTAGAGCTGGCAAAGGGCAAGGTTGTGGTCACTTCTTGGCTACTACCAGCTATCCAGAGGGAGCGAGTAGTTGGACCTGTGGGCTCAAGACCATAGTCGCAGAGGACATCAAGCTCAATCAGCATAACATACTATACAAATACACTGTTCCACATCCTACTTTGGCGAGTAGTGACTGGGATCTTAAAAGCTTGCAAATGGCCAGCTAGATGCAATGATGCATTTCTCCTCATCCACAGCAAAGAAGAATGAAGAAAACCAAAGACACATGGAAACAGTCCATGCAATCCTCAGCCTGTAAGACCATGAGACTGGAGGAACTGGATGGTGGCTGGCTGCCGCTGTCAACCACTCAAAGAAGGATCTCTGTAGCAGATCCTGGATGGAGTGAGAGAACAGTGTAGAACAAAACTCAAAATCATTAGACAAAGAGGACCAGGTTTGCTGGTCTGATGGAGCCTAATGGAATCACTGAGACTGTGGCCCCTGGTTGCCCTTCAGGTCTGAGGTTGAGCCCGCTCCTGTGGCCTCCAGCCAGGCAAAAGACAGGCATATGAGCTAAGCATTTATGTTAGGCAGATACACTCCTTGGAAAGTTCAGTCTTGGGAGAGTTGAGGGGCTGTTTGTGAATGGGGGGATGGCTTGGGGGATAGGAGTGCATAGGAGGGAGGGACATCAGGAGGAAGTAACTACAAGGAGGAAGTGGGAAGGGAGCTACTTCATTGTGATAAATTGTAGTCAATGTCATGAGACAAAATGTGTGTAAACTACTGTATGGAAACTGAATTTGGTCTGTAAACTTTCACCCCAATCACAATAAAATTTTTTTTTTAAAGAATACTCATAGAAGCATTATTCATCATACTCAAAAGGTATAAATAACTCAAATGTCCATCAACAGACTAATGGATGAATAAAATGTGGTATATGCATACAATGGAATATTATTTGGCAATAAATGGAATGAAATAGTGATACACACTAAAAAAAAAAACCAATGCCATCAAGTCGATTCTAACTCATAGTGACCCTCATTGGATTTCCAAGGTGGTAAATCTTTACAGAAGTAAATTGCCCTGTCTTTCTTCCATGGAGTGGCTGGTGGGTTTGAACCACCAACCTTTTGGTTAACAGTCAGATGCCTTAGGCAATGTGCTACCAGAGTCCTTCGATATGTACTACAACAAGAAAATATTATGCTCAGTGAAAGAAGCCAGACAATAACTATGTATTTATTGTATGATTCAATTTATATGAGATGCTCAGAATAGACAAATCTATAGAAAAAGAAAGTTTATCAGTAGTTTCAGGAGCTTTGGCGGTACAGTGGTTAAAGCATTTGACTGCTAACTAAAAGGTCAGCAGTTCAAACCCACCAGCTGCATGGCAGGAGAAAGATCAGACAATCTGCTTCTGTGAAGATTTACCTCCTTAGAAACCCAATAGGGCAGTTCTACTTTGTCCTATAGGGTCGCTATGAGTCAGAATCAACTCGATGGCAGTGGGTTTGGTTTCAGGTTTTGATCAGTGGTTGCATGGTTGCATGGGGTGATAGGGACTGAATGCTAATGGATAGGTGATGAAAATATTCTAAAACTGACCATGGTGCACAAAGCTGGGAATATACGAAAAGCCATTGAATCATATACTTTAAATGGATGAATTATATTATATTGTATCTTAATAAAGCTGTTATTTTAGAAAACAATCCACAAATTAAAGCCACCTCTTAAAATATATAAATTAAAATTGTATTGTATAAAAGGCTGCAGTGCTGGTAGGAATGGAGGGAAAGTGAGCAGAAATCACCAGCCTGATGCTGGCGTGGCCCTGAAAGAGCTCAAGGCGTGACTGGAGAAACTGAGCCTTAAGGGGGTGAGGGAAGCTGCACCATCAGAATAGAAGACTTACTCTAGCTGGACCCACACCAACAAACATCTCCAAAAACTCAGATCCACTAACTGTGATGAAAGGGACATTGGCTTCTCCGGCTGTAGCTTTAGCTAGCAGTGTTTTCCCAGTGCCTGGAGGACCAGTGAGAATGGCACCCTTCAAATATACAAAAGAGAAATTACATTTAATTAAAATTTCAAAAGAGTGAACTACAGAACCACAAATAATCCTGTCTATAAATCTTATTGATATGCACTAGATATTTCTCAAGCATTTCAACTAATGGAACATTTTTATATAATTAGTAAGAAAAACAAGAATTATTAGAAACCATTTTGTTTTAAAAAATTAGGTAAGAACATTAAATCTTAAATATTTATCTTATTTTTTAAGATTGTTAGTGTTGCTTCTTAGCTCTAATAGTACATAAAGGTATTTAAGCTTTAATCTACTAGTAAACCAGCTGAGGTTTACTTAAATAATTCATGGAAACACAAATTGGGAGACCACACTCCCAATTTATATAATTATTTGACATTCTTCAGGTAAAATTGGTTTTCTGACCCACATAATTAATAAACCCAGTCTCTCACTTCTACTCTCACACACAGGTTATTAATTTTAAGCATGAATGAAAATGTAACTTAAAACCTAACTCTATGAATTTTGCTTTTGTATGTACTTTCCATTAAGTAATTAGTTATAAGCAGCATCCTCTCTTTTTCATAAATAGATACACTACCACAAATACTGGGTATGGGGAGGTAGATAATACATTCAAGAAATTTTTCCTAGACTTTATACATAAAACTCTAGGATTTTTTTGTGTACTTATTTTCTTCCCCTGAAAATTTTCACAAATTAAGGAAAAATCTAATGACCAATGATGAACTTAGTTAAAAAGAAATAATGTATTTGATCAAATAACATAAAATTATTTAAGATGTAAAGGTACTAAGTATTAACAGCAAATTACAAAATTATAAATTAATGACTTTTTATCCATATAGACAAAATGTAAAAATGAAATAAATGATTCCCTTCACAAGGATTCCTTCAAAGTAAACTTTATTAATGTTTAACTTTATTTCACATTTAAAAATTTTAAAAAAGGAAATTTTTTTAAAAGAATTACTTAAACATTTTTTGATATCAAATTCCAATTCTGTACCTAGCCCTGGGAGTACAGAGCAAGAAGGAATGGGCCCATGGCTAGCACAACGACAGGAGGAAAGGCAACAATTAGTGGTATCTGATCTTTTCTCCATTGCAACCCTGTGCTGTGAACAGTGCCAGGCACAGGGTAGATAGTTCACAGATACTTGTCGAAGCAGTGAATGACTGGCTAACACACAGCAGTGCATGACATATCAAGGTGCTATGGCTGCTGGGGAGGGGAGGGCATCTAAATCAGAGTAGAGAGAGAGTAAAGAGGATCAGGGAAGGCATCAAGAGGAAATAACACAAATCTTTGCAGAAGTCTACATATCTCCTATAAGAAGATACATTTACACTGAAAAACTGACCCAAAAAGACTCTGGAGTTAAGCAGAGACTAGTAGGTTGAGATATAAGAAGACTAAATTATTTGTAACAAATAATCAAACTTCATAAAATTATGACTTCATATATTAAGAAATATTTCAAATGACTTTTGGGTTAATGAGTCGAAAATACTCTGAAAGTTCATCTTACCTTTGGAATTTTTGCTCCCAGGTCTTGATACTGCTTTGGGTTTTTCAAGAAATTCACAAATTCCATTATCTCTAATTTGGCTTCCTCACAGCCAGCCACATCTTTGAATTTCACATCTATCTCATCCTTTAAGACCTTTGCAGTGGTTTCTCCAACACTGAAGAGTCCACCCATTCCCCGGCCTGTTCGACCAATACCAGCAGGCCCTCTTCTTATGGTATACAGTAAAAAAGCAATTATGAGGACTGTAGGTAACATGCTCAGAAGAAATGAACTAAAGGGAACAATACACAACATTAATTTGTTTTTAAGACTGTTAAACTTTGGCTTCTTTTTTCATGTTTTGAAAGATATTCACTAATAACTGCTTGGGATATATCTGCATACATTTCCTATTTTAAAAACAAACTGAATATTCTAAGATTCTAGCTGAAGTACAAAGAGAATTTTAGTGTGTTATATCACTAAAGCAGAATCAGAAAAGATAAAATGAAAAAAAAAAAATCTGTTCTCAAGACGTATTCTGGCTATTGTTTAATTCCTATCCCAAGAAACACCATGTATACACAACACAAGCCATTATATTTTAGTGTCAAAAAAAAAAAAATGCTCCAAGTACTCACTTAAAAACTTTCACACAGTAGTAAAAAGACGGAAACTACCTAAGTGACCATCAATGGATGAATGAATAAACAAACTATAGTACATACATGGAATACTTTGCAATGATAAAGAATAATGACATAAAACATCTCACAACATGAATAAATCTGGAAGACATGATGCTGAGTGAAATAAATCAATCACAAAAGGACAAATATTGTATGTGACCACTATTATTAAAAAAAATAAGATATACTACACGTAGAAAAAATTATTCCATGGTTACCAGGAATGGGAAGCTTTAATCTACTAGTAAACCAGCTGAGATTTACTTAAATAATTCACGGAGACACAAATTTGGAGACCACACTCCCAATTTATATAATTCTTCGACATTCTTCAGGTAAAATTGGGGAGGGAGGGAAAAATCACTAACTAGTCAGAAGACTCATGTTAATAATCATGAAAGGAAAGGCAATACACAACATTAAGGAAGTCAGCACAATATGACCAAAATAAAAGAAGACACTGCCAGGAACGCAAGACAGAAAAAAAACAACAAAAAAAACCAAACTCACTGCCACTGAGTCAATTCTGACTCATAGCAACCCCCTCTGGATTTCCAAGGCAAGAATAAATGGTAATTATGGTAATTACAATAACATACATAATCCTGCAATAATAGTATTAGCAAACAACAATTTTTTGAATGGATACATAGGTAAATAGGTATGCTAAAGATGTGTAGGAGGATGTTACGGAACACACCCACCTGCAGATCAGGTTTGGTTGTGTTTATTTCTACATACATAATTGTAGGTACTACACGTATATGACTGGGAGCTCTGGTAGCATAGTGGCTAAGGCACTTGACTGCTAACCAGAAGGCTGGCAGTTCAAACCCACCAGCCACTCCTCGGAAGGAAGATGGGGCAATCTACTTCTGTAGTGATACTGCCTCAGAAACCCAAGGAGGGGTCGCTATGAGTCGGGTCCGACTCCACGGCACACAACAACAACACAACAACACATGTATATGAGTATCAACAACAGAGCACACAAGGGGCATAACCATGGAAACTTCTTAGACATAACCAAACACCTTGCAGGATAAAGTTCTTAGGCTCAAACCCAAAGGACCATAATCTTTGGGGGACATCTACGTCAACTGGCACAACACAGTTCATAAAGACAATGTTCTGCATCCTACTTTGTTGAGTAGAGAGTCTGGAGTTCTAAAAGCTTGCAAATCGATATCTAAGATACAACTATTGGTTTCTTGCCGTCCAGAGCAAAAGAGAGTGAAAAAACCAAAGACTCAAAGGTGCAATCAGTCCAAAGGACTAATGGATTACATGAACCACAGCCTACAGGACACCAAGCCCAGAAAAACTAGATGGTACCTGGCTACTACTAACAACCACTCTCACTGGGATCATAACAGAGGGTCTCGGACAAAGAGGGAGTGAAATGTTAGAGTGAAAAATCAAATTCACGAAAGAGATCAGAGTGTGGAGGAACTTCCAAGACTATGGCTCTAAGGCACTCTTCTGAACTGGAACTGAAGCCATTCCCAAAGACCACCTATCAGTTACATAACAGAGAGGCCCATAAAATAAACAATAACACCTGAGAGGAACTTGTTCCTTAGAACAATCAATTACTTGAGATCAAAAGGACAACATATCTAAAAGCAAAGATGAAAAAACAGGAAGGGGTAAAAAATTCAGAAGAAAAGAATGGGAAACCCAGGGTGAAAATGGGATGAGTGCTGACACATTGTGGAGATATGCATTCAATATCATGGAACACTTTTATGTACAAACTATCAAATGAGAATTAATTCACTCAGTAAACTTTCGTCTAAAGCACAATAAAAAATTTTTAAAAATTTATTTTTAAAAATTTAACATGATCCTGGTTAGTTTGGAACCTGTTATTGAAAAACATCAACTTACTCTGCAAAATGTTTTCCAAAAATTAAATCCTTACAATTTTAACAGTGTATTCACCTCAAGAGCAATGTACACAATATTTAAACTTATCTCTCAAGAAATGAACATTCCACTTGATTAATTCTGCAAAATCTATTCTCTGTTCTTTGTAGAGGTTCAACAGAGACTGCAGGGATGGCAGCAATACCACACTGCCCTGGAAGAGCATGTCAAGAATGACTTCAAGATCAGGGGTGCCTTGTGACTTTGGTTTGTCTAAAAAAATTTATTTCAATGTAAATATGGGTCCAGATACAATTTAGTTTAAGTAACCCTAAGAAATATGGATCAAAATCTTATACGCCATTAAGCTCAAAAACAAAAATGAGGATTTGTATTCTAATTTTTCCTTGATTACAAATTTTTAGATGCTGCAAACAACAACAATAGCAGGCAGTGAGAATCATGAAAAATTTACCTTTGGTTTATTTTTGGGAACAAAACAAAACCATACAGTGACAATAAAAATTTATACAATAGTGCAAAAAAATTTTATATGTTTCAGTACCAGCCTATAAACTTCAATATTATAGTATAGGCTCTAGGTGTGAGGGATAGATCATATCTGAAATAATCATAACTCTATCTCGATTGAAATACTGCAGGTAGAGTATGTTGTTGTTGTTGTTATGTGCCGTCGAGTCAGCCCTGACTCATAGCGACCCCTCCTTGGGTTTCCGAGGCAGTATCACTACGGAAGTAGGATTGCCCAACCTTCCTTCTGAGGAGTGGCTGGTGGGTTTGAACCGCCAGCCTTCTGGTTAGCAGTCAAGTGCCTTAGCCACTATGCTACCAGAGCTCCCGCAGGTAGAGTATAGATCTACATAAATCAAGAGTCAAGAATTCCCTAAATCTGAGGAACACTATCAACTCCATTAGCAGACCAGCTTTCAGTTTTTCTGCTCTTCTTACACATATATATATAAAAAATGTTATCTAGTTTCACTCCAAACTGGTAAATCTTTAGCAAGATATACTCTCTGCATTTAATGCAAATGGGGTAACTGGATGGGCTCTACCTGGGTTTACATTTATAAACACTCCAAGGCTTCAAGAACAGTGCCTCCTAAAATAAATGTGTCCTTTTTGAAAGATGAGAACATAGCATTCACCTAGACTTTTAAGTGGACTTATTAAAGACAAATAGTCCCCAAAGAAAGAAGCAGCTCTGACAATAGAGAAGAAAGGATTCCATTTAAAATCCTGGGAAACAATGCAAAATAAAAATGCGAATGATAATGAAAAGGTGAGAATGCCAATTTTTTTTATACAAAGGGAACCTTTACGTTAATATCTCACTAAAAGACAGTAAATGAGATATTAATACCCCAAACCACTGCTTAATCAAGATAAATACAAATGTGTGGGAAGTTAATCAATCAGGTATAAAAACTAGTAAGTTAATTAAACAAGCAAACCCATTGCCATGGAGTGCATTCTGACTCATGGTAACCCCATGTGTACAGGGTAGAACTGCATTCCACAGGGTGTTTAAGGCTATGACTTTACAGATATATTGTCAGGCCTTTCTTCTGAGGCACCTCTTAACCCTTCGCACTACTCAAGGACTCCAGTAAGTTAATGGTTTAAAAAACAAACAAAAAAGCCTTACCACACTGAGAAAGTTGTATTTGAGAATTTAAGTTAACACTGATACCTGGTGACATGGGACATACAGTGAACCTTAAATGGCAGTGAAGAGCCTGTAAAACAGCTAATATTGTTGTAATCACTGCTTACCCATCACTTTCTGCAATGTAGACAACAGGGACTCGATTCTCCCCTTCTATACCTAGTTCTTGCTGTAAAGTTTCCAGATTCCGCTCAAAGGTATCCACACTACCAATATTAAACCAGACGTATTGCTATAAAGAGAAAAACAAAACATCTTGAGAATGAGAGGAACACAAACAGTTCAATTCACTACAGAATTCAACTTTTTAAGACTATTTCAGAAATAGTGAAAATTTACTGAAAAATAATGATATTTAAAAAGTATAACAAAAGGTTGGTTTTATGATGTGATAATTTTCTTTCAGTGAGAACATTTAGCAATCCCTGGAAAATACACATTTCTTTAGCAATATTCCTCAGTCGCTCTAAAATTATAAACAGAACTACAAATCTATTTGGAAAGATAATCCTTTTCATTAATAAATATGTGTTCTTTTCCTATTTTCCATTTCCCAAGTATTTCTCAGCTGCTTCTTCCAAAATTAAAAGGCTAATATGATATAGTAACAACAGCTAAAATTTGTTGGGCACTTGCTTGCCAGGCATCCTTCCAAGCCCTTTATACATGTTAACTCATTGAATTTCAACTATCAAGAAGGCAACAAACAAACTGCAAGTACAGTCAATTCCAACTCACTGCTCCCTCATGTGTGTCAGAGTAGAACTATGCCCTACGTGGTTCTCAGTGGCTGATTTTTCAGTAGTAGATTGCCAGGCCTTTCTTCAGAAGAACGTGGTGGTGGGCCCAAACCTCGAACCTTTTGCTTAGCAACCTAGCAAGCTGACCTACCACCCACTGCTTACTCATCACCTGACTCCAGGGAAGGTACCACCAGTATCTAATCAGAAGAGATGCTCCTTGCTACACTGATCATTACCCTTTTGGTCCTGTGGGGCCTAGGGTAGGACACCAGAGGGACTTGGAGTCATGGCTACATTCCCAACCAGCGAAGATTTTTATACTGTATTAGTGTTCACTGGCTGAACATCAGCCCCACTTCTTACTGTCTCCATTATACAGATGAGAGAACTATGGAGGTGACTTAACTTACCTACAATACACAACCAGCAGAGGCAGGGATCTGACCCCAGACAGTCTGGCACCAGAGCCAGAGCAAGTGATCCTAACCACTATAGAACACTGGCCCTTAAGAGAACTATGAAGAAACAATAACAACTATGGGACAAAGAACTTAATTTACCCTTTAGCTTCGGGTTTCCGGAAATAACATTTGGAATTTGCCAGTAATCAAGGTGCTTTTGTTTTCCTAATAGCCAGGCAACATTTGTTGTTAAACGTCAAGTCAGTTCCAACTCAGAGCAATCCTATTTACAACAGAAAGAAACACTGCCCAGTCCTGTCCATCCTCACAATCATTGCTATGCTTGAGCGCACTGAAGCCATTAAACTAGTGCAAATGTAGTGGGATCCCCAGAGACTACAATAGGCAAGTAACTTCAGAAAAGGAGTTTGGTATGTTATAATCAACGTGCATGTTCACTGACTCAATCAATTAAGCACATGCAATGAAACACTAGTTATACTTATGCACTGAGACCCAAATGATGACTTCTAAAAGACCATAGACCTTGGAGATCCTCTGGACTTCCTGAATTGACGAAAAGGTTTGGAATGTCCCTGAGGACAAGTGAAGTCTCATGCCCTGACCTCTGCATCTCTTTTTGTCTATCCTTTTGTGGTTAAAGTTGCTATAGTAAGTATAATCCCTGGTTGTGCAGTGGCTAATGCACTTGGCTGCCAACCAAAAGGTCAGTGCTGCAAACCCACTAGCCTCTCTGTGGGCAAAAGATGTGGTAGTCTGCTTCCATAAAGATTTCAGCCTTGGAAACCCTATGGGGTGGAAACAGGGTCACTATGAGTCAGAATCGGCTTATTGGCAGCTGGTCAGGTTGTGGTTTTATAAGTATAGATGATATTCTGTGAGCTCTGTAGGTTGTTCTAGAAAGTTACTGAACTTATGGGGAAAGGGAGAGCCAGCATAGGCTGGTATCTGTCTATTTGGCAGTTGATCTGAAGGACAGAGTCCTTTTAACTTGTAAGGTCTGACCTAACTCTGGATGCCAGGATCAGAGAAAAAATGCTGTTAGTGGTGTCAGAGAAATGGGAAATGGGAAGTATGAAATCTCTGCATTTGGGGGATCAGCCTTTTGTCCTCCATTTTTATTAATACAACAATGAACATTTGCAGAGTTTTATTACACACTACACCCTGTTCTGGGAGCATAGTGGCTAAAGCACTTGACTGCTAACCAGAAGGCTGGCGGTTCAAACCCACCAGCCATTCCTCGGAAGGAAGGTTGGGCAATCCTACTTCCGTAGTGATACTGCCTCGGAAACCCAAGGAGGGGTCGCTATGAGTCGGGGCCGACTCGACGGCACAGAACAACAACAACACCACCACCCTGTTCTAAGAACTCTGCAAGTGTTAGCACATTTCACAGAACAAGACTCTCTTCCTCCTTCAGCTAACAATAATTTTTTTTAATAATTTTTTCACCAAAACAATGCATTACTTATATGAAATATGAAACTGAGAAAATTTAGAAGAGTACACAGAAGAGAACAACATATCATTCCATATTCCTCTCACCAACTAGTGTTATGAAGGAGCTACATCACTTCTGGTATTTCTCTCCACCTATCTATAGATAAAAAATGGACAGGAAATTTTATATAAAATATAAATTATATTTCCTAGAAATTTTATATAAATTTTGTATAATAGCTCTTGGTAAGTTCTTCACTGGCAAAGCTACAGAATTTATGTCCTAAAACATGTACATAAAAAATTAACCACAGAGTTTTTGGAGTTTCAGTAAGATGGCAGAATAGTCAGAAAGACTGCACAGACCGTCTTCAACAAGGAAAAAGGGAACCAATTAACACAGATACAGAAGATAATCCTGGATGCCTGAGCCTTGAAAGGAAGGATACAGAAGTCAAATAAACTCCAACTAGCACAAAAATTTGCATGAAAACACCAAAAAAAGAGACATACAGAGTGGCAGTCTGGCAGTGAACCTGACGGCACAGACAGCTTGGATATTGCCGAGTGGTGGTAAGACTTAAGACTTAACCCAAAAGCGGGTCTGCTAGCCAGGGACTACATGGAGAACTGCTCTGGTGACTGGGGAGTAAAAGGGAAAGCAGTGACGAGGACGGCGGGCTGAGCTGTGGGTATTTGTCTGTACAGAGGTCACAGCCATTTTGAATGTTTACAAGTGGCTTGACCATTCTGGATATTTAAAGTGACAGAGTTCTCTGAGATTCTAGGAACTTAAGAACAGGCTCCAATTGCAAGTAACCCAAAGAACATTCTAGACCTAGACGACTGGAAAGGTGTGACATTCCCCTTGCTACTCTCATACAACACACCCTTGTGGTGAATGGAGGTGCAGCCATCCCTCACTGCCACCCACCTTCAGGGCTACAGGAACTCCACCCTGGTCTGTGTGCTCTGACAGAGCCTGGGTACCCTGTCCTGCCTTGCCCCCATGTTTCTCTTTCTTTTATTTTTTTTAGTTTCTTGGTTTCTGTCTGTTTTAAAATTACTATTATTATCATTACTTTTACCCTTTTAATATTATTCTTTATTCTTTCCCTCCCAGGTTCTAGTTTTCAGCTTTTTTCTTTTCTCTGTTCCTAGTTGCAATTTTTTTTTCTTCTTTTTTTCTTTCTTGTGGTTAACCCCAGTCCCTGTTTTTCTTTTTGCGTTTTTCCCACTTTTTTCTTCCTTATTCTCTTTATCTACCTTTTTTCTCTTATTGCCCTTTCCCCAGACACCTCTGGTTTTTTTTTTTTTTTTTTTTTTTTTTT